ATTCTCCTGCCGGCTAGCTTCCGCAGGTGACAGGTGGATGTAAGCAGCTGGGAGCAATAGCCAGACTGCTATTAGCTATTTTAATTTGAAATAGCCAATAGCAGAATGCCTATTGAAACCCCACCCACTGAGCAGAGGAGCGTACCTGAGAGATTAAGTTGTCTCTCAGTTCTGCTGCTCTGCTCAGTCAGCAGGTGCAATAGAGCGAGTGTAGACAAGTAGGATCTTGTTTATAAGTCCAAGCCATGGTTGATAATGAAGATAATCAGCAAATATAGGCACACAGGGTAAATCCAAGTAGAGTTCAAATGAAATAGGGGTCGACCGATATGGTTTTTTCAGAACTAAGACCAATTATGGGCCACCTTTCAGGCTGATAACCGGAATCAGTTACAATTATTCTGTTTATGTCCAGCTACGGAATCTTGTGCCAGCAGCTGAAAGTAAACAGCGGGCAGTGGGCCTGATATCGGTCAATGGTGAAAGGGATTCCACAACCAATATTTATCTGCCGGAGGCTAGATTCCACAGCCGGCAGCTGAATGTAAACAGCAGGCATTGGGCAGTGCAATAGCTAGCCTGCTATTGGCTATTTCAAATTACAATAACCAATAGCAGGCTAGCTGTTACAGCTGCCCACTGACTGCTGTCAATCAGCAGAGGAGCGGACCTGAGAGAGAACTTTCTCTCTCGGGTCCGCTCCTCTGCTGATTGACAGCAGGCAGTGGGTGGTGCAATAGCCAGCCTGCTATTGGCTATTTCAAATGGCAATAACCAATAGCAGCTAGCTATTGTGCCCACCCACTGCCTGCTGAAATCAGCAGAGGAGCGGAACTGAAAGAGGTCTCAGGCTCTGTTCATACAAGATTTTCCAACCGGCTCCTTTGATCAGCTTTGATCAGCTGATCAAAAGATGCCGGCCGAAAGGGTGGCGACAGTGGCACCCACTGTGCGAATTTCATCTGGTTCCTCAAGAAACAACCAACTTTGTATGGCCTCCTTTATTATAATTTAGACATTTGTAAATATGTTAAGCCTGATGAAGGGACCCTGCGCAGCCCCGAAAGCGCTTGTCTTTATTTGACGTGGTTCATAATAAATACTTGGTGATCCTGAAAGGATTTTTGATGTGCTGGTGACATTCTTCCATACAATTTGCAAATATCGCCCCCAATTATTGCCAGGTCCGATAATCGGTTGACCCCAAAAATAAAATCCAGGTCAGTATTAAAAGTCAAGCACAAATTCAGAATCGCACATCACAAAACAGTTAAAGATATATATATATAGTGTTAGTTACATATATAATTATATAGCAGCAGGAACTAAGTGCAGTATTTTACACAGATTGAGAAAACCGCTACAGCACAATTGGCAAAGAGACATATAAAAATGATCAGCTCCTTGTACATTTTAAATCCTGAGACTAAGGAAGAAACATACAGTAAATACCATGGCTGTACTCATACAGGGACATAAAAATAATATTTATTTTCTACCAATGCAGATATAGAACAATCAACAACACTACATTTAGTTTAAGTTTTGAAGCACTTGCATTCACTGCATACATATTCTTCTCTTATAGAGTCTGGTGGTTGATCGCTTTGGCAGAAGAGTTTTGCTGCTGTCTGGCTATGCATCAATGGTCTTAGCTTTGGGGCTTCTAACTCTGACAATCTCACTGCAGGTAAATATACCTATTGCCATTCAAACATAAGTAAAAGCACTTTATTTGTACAGCGCAACTAAAAAAAGTCACCGAACACTGCATACTGCATTTCTGCGCTACTAAATAGTCCAGATTGAACAGTGGTTAGACTTGCTGAATAAGGGTTTACATTATGGAAGCAAGGGTTTTATTTTTAAGACAGAAGAGTATGACTGCGCAGAGTATTTTCCCTAACACAAAGTTCTACTTCCTGTGCACACTGAAAAGTGCAAGCGCTTTGTTGTACATTTTACAGGGTTCCATTGAAAAGATCTGAATGGAACCATACAGGGAAACATACCAAACATAAAACATGCAGATTTTTTTTTTACTTTTTCCCAATGTGTCGCAATCCAGCATAGTCATAGGCACAAATCCAATAGAAAACAATCAACTTTTTGTTCATGCATTTTACCTGCATCGCAAAACACTACAACGCACAACATCCTACCAAGCATGCTTAAATCCAGACACATTTTTGGATTTGATTATTTGCTATCTTATGCCAGCTATAATGCACACGGGGAGCAAAATCACATTTAAATCTTTGTTGCCTTTAGAATCAGTGAGATGCAACCTTTTGTTACCTAATCAGCCCTGCACCGTTTACTATGAAAAACTGCAGTATTGTTGTTTTTTCTATCAGTGTGCCTCAGTGTGGCAAAATTAAAAGTTATATGAATTCAAAGAGGTATAACAAAAACTCTACGCAGCCCATCAAAAAATCTCACTCACTAGATGTATATGAGCTTCCATTAGTAGGTCAAACAGCCTAGCAGCATAGGATCCCCAGGACAAGCTTATTCCAAGCTGCCACTCTCCCAACTCACCTCAGTCACGGTCCATCTCAGAATCCTCACGATCCTGTGTCCCAAGAAATATATGTACTTCACAATCATGGTGCAGTCTACGGAATCCTTCACTTAATATGTGTGGACTGCGGAAAAGTCTTTCACAGGAACTGGTTATAGCTGACTCAGTTGTTTGTTTAAAGGAAAACTCCATTAAAGTAGATGAGGACCACCAAGGACAACTCTTCAATACAATAAGGCCCTGTGTAGTCAGGCTTCTGTTCATGTTCCTTTTGGTGTAGTTCAAATGCAGGTCAGAAGAACGTCAAGTGTACCTGTTAATGAATTCTGAAAAATCCCGGAAGCACCTTAAAAACCATTTCCTCTTTTGCGGAGGTATCTTCAGGGAAGCCTATCCCACCTCACCCTAACCACTGAACAATCACTTTCTCAAACAATCATTCCCACGCAGCTACCTCCTCATGTATCACTTGCTCCTCCCTTTTAGATTGTAAGCCCTCACGGGCAGGGCCTTCCTTACCATCTTGTCTTAAATTGTATTGTGACTGTAATGTCTTCCTTATATTGTAAAGCGCTGTGCAAACTATTGGCGCTATATAAATCCTGTATAATAATAATAATAATAATTTAAAAAAACAAAAAACATATGCCAACAATGAACACAGAGTGTACATGAAGCAGGCATATGCAATTGCTGTATATGAACACAGAAACTTACTTTTGTGTTAGCTGTTATTATTCTGACTCCGATCGTTGTGATAGCGAAATATATCCCTTGCTGAGACCTCTATGCCTGGCCTGTATAAGCAGATATACTCACTGCGGACAATCCTCGTCAGATAGCTGAACTCGTCAATACCGATTCATTCAAAAGAGGTGTTTATTCTTTAACATCAGGTTACAGCAGATGATAGGAACAGCAGTTGAACGGTTATAGTATTGTGCGGTCAGAAAATGATGCCTTTCCTACGTACTGTGCAGATTATATGTGTGTCCTTGTTACATGTGGCTTCTAACTGTGGCCATGACACAGGAAGTACTGCACACAGGAAGAAGGAAGGGGCGTACACTAGGGGGAAATACATCGTCACATGAGGAATAATTACAGAAAACATGTTTGTTACAACAAAAGGCCACTAGATGGCAGCATAGGATAACACATGAATTTAGCTATGAGAAAATAGTTAGGCAAATCACACTATATAAATTCTAACCTATATAACAATGCTAATATTAACTGAGGCTATGCATCTCATATTCTATGCCCCTATTGGGGCGGCACAGTTATCTTCATCTCCTCATGACACCTCTGTGCTCTGCAGGCAGTCTATGTAAATTACAGGCTGCTGTGCACAGTGGGAACTATAGTGTAGGGAATGGAAAACCAGATTTCCCACATTGCTATGCTTCCGTCATGCACAAGCTTCTCTGTGGAAACTGAGCTCTGTCTCTGAGCTCTCTCCCCCCATTTATTAATATTCATAGTGGCAAAACCCCCTGGAAAGTGCAGAGTAACCTGGAAAGGCATAGTTGGGGTGCAGTCATCTTGTTACGATAACTCACAGGGAGGGGGTTAGCTGCTTTACAATCTTACCCCAGTGTCAGACTAAGTTTCCTGTGGAGGGAATTTTGAATTTTTAGGACTTTAAAAAGCCAGCAATGTGAGTCATAAAAATGTACACACATACTGTATACATCATCACTGCACCTCTACATTACCAAAATCAATGCTAATCACTTACAAAGATGGAAATGGGCTTTAAACTGATGTCAAACTGATGATCTTATGCTAACATATTCTGTCAGATCATTTTAATGATCACAGCCAAAATCAATAACTTTTCAAGGTAATTCAAACCTTTTTTTTAGGTAATGTTGAATATAACTGTAACCTATTTTGGGTTTTTCCAACTGTCTGCATCCTTGCAAAGGAGATTTTCTTTTACTGTCTGTCCCCGAGGTCACAGTCGTATGAAATGGAGGGAAATCTACCCAAATGAGGACCCCGAAAGCAATACGAAGTTAATAAACTATCTATTTCTTTCCTGCAATGTCCAAAACATTTGGCTGGAGTTACATTTAAATAATTGTAGGTCTTGGCACAAGAAAGTATGTAATGTAAATGTAATAACATTGATGCAATGATCAGTATTATTAGCCAGATAGATAATGCAGGCATTCCAATAGAATGTGTTGGAAATACAACAGCTTATACTAATGTACTGATATGTCTTTTAAGCAGTAGATGGCGCTGTAGTGCATTATTAGTCTCTATGTTTATACATACTTATCTATGATATATACAGGCTCTGTATGCTGTAAAATGCTGTATTCTGATATAATGTCCCTCTAAGCAAGTAAAACTTAATTCAACATTCCTGGAGATCTCAGTGCTTCATCTAAACACATAACCAAAAGAATGTTGTTCAGCAAGATTTATTTTTGTTTCTGCAAATCTTTTATAAACACATTATTATATGTTATGCTTTAGACTATGTACACTTGGATGCCTTACTGCAGTGTGATTGTGATCTTCATATATACTCTCTCATTTGGAGCAGGGCCAGGTAAGAGACCTCTTATTGTCAGCTTTCAATGCACACTCCAGTCAAACATGAAAAGTCTTACATTTAAATCTACTTCAGCTACACTGCCTATGTGCTTGGTTCTCGCATGTTCATTCTGGAGTTCAGGTTGCAGGGATGGCGGGCATGTTAGCTACATCCATATAATTTCCAGTACTCTGTTCTCTCTCTAAATTGTTCTGAGCCCATGAAAATGCAGACCACTGTGTTCTCCAGTACCAGAACCACTCTCTTACTGAGCCAACTGCAGTATTACCCACACACTGGCCATATTTTCCATAATGGCCCTCAAGAGCCAGTGCCTAGGGCAGAAGGGTTACAGTAGGCAGCACCAAGCCTCCTTATCAAGAGTGACAACTCTTTTGCGGCGGCCGCTGTCAGAGTTAAAAAAAAGCAAAAACCAACAGACAGCATGGGAAGGAATAGCTAGGCTGCTATTGGCTACTTCAATATGCAATAGCCAATAGCAGGCTGGCTATTGCACCCACCCACTTCTGCTGTCAATCAGCAGAGGTGGAAAAAAGAAAATGGCATTGCACTTTACAAACCCAAATAGTAATCCTAAAATGTGAGCAAAATAGTATGAAATGTGAAATTGTCACAAAGTGATAAACAATTTTGTGTCATACACAGCACCTGTGTTGCACAATGTCTGTGCTGATGATAGTAAGAAAAAACTCTAGGTCTAATGGTCTAGTCCAGGGGCGCCCACAATTTTTCGTCTGGAGATCTACTTTTCAAATGACGAGCTCAATTAGATCTACCAATGAAAAAACCCCTGCATTTATGGGCGGCAGGGGGCGTGGCGGTGCATTGAAGTCAATGACACCGCAGGCAAGCCCCACGCCCTGCGTTCCAGTCCAGTGCAATCCGGAAAAATGCTGCAAGCACTATTTTTGCAGATCGCACTAGACCGCAATGCAGGCACTAATGTGCCTGCGTTCCGGGTGCGGGCGATCGCACTGTGGGCGGGGGCATGGCTGCGGTGCCATTGAATTCAATACAACCCCACACCCCCTCACACCCTGAATGCAGGGTGTCGACCAGCTTACATTCCAGTGCGTCCTAGAGGCCCCGGCGTTCTGTCCTCCCGCGGTGCTCATGTGGCCGATGTTGCACACGGGGAGAGGTGTCCTGCCCCTTTCCATCTGCAGTGTCTGCCACATTCAGCCGGCAGCGTGGGGGCATAGCCGTAGCCAGCTCTTCAGGCATGTGATGTCACCCAGCGCCCCACCTCCAGGATTTATTTTTTATTTTAAATGTATTTAATATTTATTCTTTTTATTTATTTTGTTACTTTTGGGGGGGCTTCGGGGGAAATGTTAGGGGTCTAAACAGCCCCTTGATATTTCCCTTTTAAAATAGAAAAAGAAATTGAGGACACAAAGTCCTCTATCTCTTTTTCTGCAGCCTCCGTTCTAAATGAATGGAAAGCACAGATGCTTCCCATTCATTGAGAAAATATTTTACTATCATCTAGTTTCTGAATGGGGAGGAGCCTATGAAGTGTGTGCTTCTCCCCATTGAGAAACTCATAAATGAACAGGAAGTGATGTAAATCACATCCTGTTCATTTATAACTGGGGACACATAGTACTATGTTTCCCCAGTTATTTACAAACACTGAAGTGATCAGCCGATCGCTCCAGTGTTTGTCCTGCACAGAGGATCGGAACATATCACTGATATGTACCGATCCTCTGCCGCTCGGCCACACACAGGGGGGTTCAGCTTCTCCTCTGGATCCGCGCTGCTCTCACGGGCAGAGGCAGCGGCGGATCCGGGGAGAAGTGAAAGAAGCGCTGCAGCTGCGGGGGGGGTGGAGCCGCTGTCACAGAACTAAGGCAAAGAGGTGAGGGGAGAGTATTTTTCCCAGAGGAGGGGTGCGGAAGGTCTCGGGAGGTGCGCAGAGGGTGTCAGGAGGGGCGCAGAGGGTGTCAGGAGGGGCGCAGAGGGTCACTGTAAGAATTACTAGTGATTGTATAAGACTGAGCAATAGTTTGCTTTAGATGACAATACAAGCAGAGAGACAGAGGAGAGGGGGGGGGAATAGAGAGGAAAG